CGAAGAGGCGACGTACGGGAAGGGCCGCGACCCTTGGAGTGCTTGGGCAGACGCCCGTGGCAAGGGCCAGGGCAAGCCGAAGGGCAGAGGCAAGTCCGATGCCAAGGGCAAGCCCAAGGGGAGGGGCAAGTACGCCTGGGGCGCTTTCGCCGCGGGCATTGTTGCCGCGCTCCAACCCCGCCCAAGCACAAGTTGGGTCCCAGCTTTCCCGTGCGGGTCGGCCCGGCCGCCGCCAAGTGTTCCGCTTCCGCCGCGGACTCCGCGGACCCCCTTCTTCCTGGGTCGCGGGCTCCTCAATCGGTTGATGCACGCCCTCAACGGGAACATCAACGGCTGGTGGGGCCTGGCGGCTGCAGCGTCGGCGCCAATTGCCTTGCAGTTGCACCGCGGGGTTGTGCATGTTGTCGAGGACTCCATGCACGCGGTTGCAACGGTTTCGGCCGACGTTGTCGAGGAAATCGGCCATGGGGCCAGGCGGACCGTGTGGGTCGCCGGAACAGCCATCACTCTGGTAGTAGTGATTTTGTGCGGCGCTGTTCTGTGGTACGTGAGTCGTGCCGTTGCCAATCGCATTGCGCATATGCGACATGGCAACACCGCGGCCCCTGAGGCGCGGCTGTCTCAACTCCTTGGCTCTGAAGCGACGTTCGAGGTCGTGAGCTCCAAGAAAGGGGTGACCCACAAGGTTTGGGTGCACCTCAAGGAGGAGACAGCTGCCTGTGGCTGTCGTGCTTACCTGGCAGAGGGACGTTGCGGGCATTGCGATGCCGCAATGGACACCGCTCGTTCCCTAGGGTTTTTGCACGCGGCCCAGCGAGGCGCGGGTTCTGCGCTCACAGACTCCATTCGGAGTACCGCCTCCGAAGCCCTGGCTAAGGGTAAGGTTGTGTTGGGTTTGGGAAACAGTGAAGGATGTTTCTCCCAACTTGCGGCCAAGAGCCGCGGGCTCTCCTGCTTTCAGGGGCTCGCGGGTCGTGACCTGGCCGCGGCCCCAGCAGATGGAGCGAGCGCAGCCCACGCACAGTCCGGCTCCGTGCAACGTGCCGCCACTGCCACTGTGGCGCGCACGCCAGGCCGGAGGAACAAGGGCCCAGTTCCCGCTAGGAGTTCTCCAGTCAAAGAAGTGGAATTCCTTGCGGGCGGGCCATATGTTCAGGCCGCCCAAACGCTGCTTGGGTCTGGAGCAGCAGAGGATGTGATCTACATCCGGGCGTACAGCTTGGATTGCCCCTCCTGCATCGAGGCAATCGAAGCGTCGCTTGGCAAGGGCGCAAGCGTTCGGATTGTCGCCGACGTGGGACAATGCCACCGCACCAAGCTTCAGTGGCAAGCGTTGAAACGCTTGGCGGCCGCAGGTGCCGAGGTGAAGGTGGGTTGTGGCACATCCGTGCGCGACGCCTATGCTCGCGACGGCCGCGGGGCTAAGGTAGGCGCCGGGATTCAAGGGCTGCACCATGCCAAGGCCCTTTGCCTACTGCGGCCTGAAGGCGCGGTGGTGCTGATTGGGAGCCTCAATTTTACCACAAGCAGCAAGGCCAATGCGGAGGCAGGGCTTAGGCTTGAGGTCCCCAAGACGCACTCAGTCGTGCAGTCCTACATCGAGGATTTCCAGAGGGTGTCGGCTGAGGCATTCTCCCTCGATGAGGCAGTCGCAAAGCGCCCTCAGTTGGAGCGAGCCAGTAGCTCCAACGTTGCTGGCAACACCGCTCGTGCCCCCAACACTGCTCCACAGGGTATCGAGTAGGCTGCGGCCAGTCGGCGCGGCGTGGAAGGGGTTTCCACGCGATTTCTTAGGCATCACAGCGCGGCACGCTGTCGAGCCTCTTTTGACCGTGTTTTGCTTGCGGGCGAAGAGCCGCGGCAGGGGTTTTCCCTGCCCATTTTGCCTACCCGCACTTTTCTTCCCAGCCCGTTGCGGCTGCTGCGGACCGTGTCCTGGTCGCGGCAGTGCGCTCGCCGAAGCGCGTGCGAGCTGCATTGCCTGCGGCACGAGCAATGTGCGCGGCTCTCGCTGAGTCCGGTAGCCCGTAGGGTAGTTCTGGATAGGTGAGTAGCCGTAGCCGTAGCTTAGGACCGGCCGTGTACAGTGTACCATCTGTACCATAGATTTCAGTGTCTGCCGTAGCAGTCCTCAAGGCACTCAGTGGGCTCTGTGTACTGGAGCCTCGACTCAGGTCGTGCAAAAGACCGGACCGCCTGGTTTAGGCTGGTTTTGGAGGGTCGTTCGTTTGGGTCGTCTCGTTTCGCGTGTCTTCGTTTGCGGGCTTGCGCCCAAAGCCGCGACGGACGCCCGCCCTCCTTGTGGAAGTCACTCACCGGAGCCTCGGCTGAGGGGCGAATGTGAGCTGACATGAGTGCATATGCATCTTCTGCTCTGTGATGCATTAGGACTCGGCAGACCACCTTGTAGTTTTCCTTTGCGTGTAGAGTTTTGCAATTCGAATCAATGCCAATATTTTGGCTCAAGTACCGAGCTTGTGCCTTTGAGCACGGTAGCGTC